TATATATATATATATATATATATATATATACACACAATATATATATATAATAATTATATATATATTATATATATATACATGTGTAATTTAATTATAAGTGTATTTTTATATTAATATACGTATATATTAATATAAAAATACACTTAGTATGACATGATATATAGACATATTATATAGACTATATATCATGTATAGAAAAGATATATATTTAAGTACCCTTCGTCCCTGATCAGCAAACTGTTGAATCAGAGACTAGGGTACAAAGGTCAGGATGGTGGTACTAGTCCCACCTAAATTTGGGCTTGAACCCAAATATTTACATAAAAAATGCAAAGATACAATAATTGGATAACTCCCCTTTAAAGAAGGTGGGCTCCCAATGAATCTGGTAATGATAGTAAAGAGAACGTCAACTGATACGAAAATATACCTATAGACTTGTCAAAAGTATAAAAAAAGGTGATAACTACAGGGAAAGCATATATTGATATTTTAGACACTGAATAAACATGTATCCTAGCGTAAACAGTGATACACTGCAACTTTATTAACTGTACTGTAGCGAGGATACAACGTATCAGTGTCTCTGAAATGCTTATAACCCTAAAATCCTATGTGGATCGACCTCAGTGTCCAGATCTCAATTGAGGCATGCTAAGTGCTAAGACAATGAGATATATCACATGGGGTGATCCACAGAGGAAACAAAATCAATGTAGTGCCTTAAAATCTTATTATAGATAAATAGGTAGGGCAATAGAGGAGACAGTATAGCATTGAATAAGGATGAAAACCAGATATCCGTTACTGAGTAGCTTATAGTAGCTTACGAATATGTTGGAAGTAATATGAGTAATTAGATATCAATATAACCAGTGGTTAGAGTAATGTGATTGAGGAAAATCCCCTAAAAAACACCACTATTCTAATCTCCTATAATCTCCTCTTAACACCTTCATGGGTGTTCTATAGTTAGTAAGCTAGCTACGCGCTGTCCCCCAACACTATTGCCACTACACTAGTAAAGATCCATTAAGAATTAACATTTAAACTAACGAAAAGTTAGTTATCACTAGTTATCACCTTTTTTTATACTTTTGACAAGTCTATAGGTATATTTTCATATCAGTTGACGTTCTCTTTACTACCATTACCAGATTCATTGGGAGCCCACCTTCTTTAAAGGGGAGTTATCCAATTATTGTATCTTTGCATTTTTTATGTATATATCATATATATATATATATATATATATATATATATATATATATATATATATAAATATATATACACATATATAATTATATTTTTATTAACATTATATTTTTTAACATTAACATTTGATATATAGACATATTATATATATATATATATATATATATATATATATACACATATATAATTATATTTTTTATTAACATTAACATTTTTTTATTTTTTATTTTACACATGCAGGGAGACTGCCTGTCAGCACAGACTGTCCCCCTGCAGGCAGATACATGGACACCTATTATGACCAAGTGACCGCTCTGTTGAGCGATCACGTGGTCGCGATGTCCTAATTTGCTGCGGGGAGACTGCCTGGGCTGTCAGGCAGTGTCCCCACACTGGGAGCCACGCCGATCGCTGCCAGGGGAACCACAGCAACAAGTTGAGTGAAGATTTCAGTTATGACGGTTCAGGACCGTCACCGGTCCTCAAGAGGATTTTTCCGATGACGATCCTGAACCGTCATCGGTCGTGAAGGGGTTAAAGGGTTTACCCAAACAAAAACTTTATTTTAGAATAATAAACCTAACTAGATTTTCCGCTAAGTATTATCTGAAAGCAGGAATGTGGCAATGGACACAAGCCAGAGCTCCAGTAAGTTATCAAACAATTCTAAAATGAGTTAACAAGTTGAGAGGGCTTTAGGGTACTACTTGTACAATAAGCACTATAGTGAGCTGCTTGGAGTATTCCTTTATATAAATAAATAATTATTGAAGCAATAAAAAAAAATAAGATAAATTACATATGTTTGCACATGTATTCAATTGCTCAGTAAAAAGTGCATAAGATAATATTTTGTTCAAGCATTACTATATTTTTAATATATTAATATAAACTATTTTCAAGATGAAAGATCATTTTTAAATGTACTTTAAGGGGACAATTTAAGTGGTACTTTTGATATCACTGAATAAAATATAATTAAATACAATCATTAAATATTATTAATAACAAAGAAATCAACAATATAAAATCAATGTACTGTTATATTAATTTATAGACATTTATCTGATGGAGTGTACAGCCACTTTCTCTTTCATACCTGACTAAAAAACTATGACTATTTATGATACATCTGCTCAAAAGAATATAAAGAACAGATGAACATATTTACAGTATATTTTATAATCAATCACTCTGCTCTTCTTATTAACTCTTGTAAGACTTACAAGTATGAATATATGTTGCGTGGGAAAAAATATATACATTATATTTAAATATTACATTTTACTTGTTCTAAACAACAGACATGACAGGTAAGCACAAATGATGAATAACACGTCCCCAAGGGGTTTTAGAACCAGGTGTAAGAAAGCTCACTGGGAATTCAGTATAATAAGTCTATAGAAGAAAATGACAGAATTGAAACAAAAGTCCCAAACTTAATTAAACTTAGAAGACAACACATCCAGAGGGAAGTACTGCAGAGTTATGAAGGGCTTCCTACATGATAACTTGACCCTGACAGTTTAAAAAGAATGTTCACAATGGTTACTCTTAAGTTATGATGCACTCTGTAAGACTTGAAGAAGAAAAAAAAAAAACAATTTAAAAAGATAGCTCTTACTCTTTTGCTCCTTATTATTTTAAAGGTCTACCAAGAAATTCCATCTGCCTTCTGTGCAGTGACTGAGTTGTTTAAAATAATCTATTGTTTCTTTATAATGTTATGTTAGTGTATATATTTAAAAAAAAAAACACTTAAAGTGAGAATTCAAGGTGAATTTGAAATTCTCTGTTAGCAATGCTTTAATTTAGCTACTCTGGCCTTTTTAAATGAGTTTTAATTTTTAAACTCATTTTGAATTCTCACTTTTGTTTAAATAGAGATGAGCAAATCCGAACTGGAAAGTTCAGGTTCGTACCAAACATTACGGTTTTTGGACCCCGGACCCGAACACGGACATTTCAGTGTATGTTCGGGTTGGAGTTCAGTGTTCGGCTATTTAATGGCGCGTTTTGAAAGGCTTCAGGGCAGCCAATCAACAAGCGTTTGATTCATGTGCCCTTAGAAGCCATCACAGCCATGCCTACTAATGGCATGGATGTGATTGGCTAGTGCAGCATGTGACCCAGACTCTATATATAAGCTGGAGTCGCGTAGCGCCGCATGTCACATGAGCTGTTATTAGTGTAGGGAGAGGATGCTGCAGCTGTGAGGGACAGATTAGGAAAAAATTCTGGTGTTGAATCTGCAAACTACAGCGATTATTTTTGTGGGTGCTATACTACAATTTTGTACCCTGCCCTGAGCCCAGTGCCACAGAGAGTGCAGTGCACTTGCAACTGCATGTGTGCCGGGCACATTACTATAATTCTGTTCTGGTAGCTCAGTGTGCAACATCTAGGCATTTTTAAATACTGCAATTTTTTTGGTGCTAAATAGTACATTTGCGTATGGCATTTCTTGCAGTCTAATAAAACCCTTAAATACTACTGTTACATTGTTGGTTTAAAAAAAATCACACTTTTTTTGTGCTAAATAGTACATATGCAGCCTGCGGTGCACTTCATATCTGAGAGTCAAATAGAACCGTCAAATACTGTGGTTACATCACAGTTTTAAAAATTCTAATTTTTTGGGTGCTAAATAGTAAATTTGGGGTGTGTACTTCATATCTGAGAGTCAAATAGAACCGTCAAATACTGTGGTTACAGCGCAGTTTTAAAATTTCGAATTTTTTGGGGAGCTAAAAAGTACATTTGGGGTGTGCACTTCATATCTGAGAGGCAAATAGAACCATCAAATACTGTGCTTACATCGCAGTTTTAAAAATTCAACATTTTTTGGGTGCTAACTAGTACATTTGGGGTGTGCACTTCATATCTGAGAGTCAAATAGAACCGTCAAATACTGTGGTTACATCGCAGTTTTAAAAATTCTAATTTTTTGGGTGCTAAATAGTACATTTGGGGTGTGCACTTCACATCTGGTGTATGTGTGCAACACTGGCTACTTACCGCTTCTCAAGAAAGTCTAAAGACTTATAAATGTTACCTGTGGTGCAGGTAGTATAGAAGGCAAGACTGAGACAAATCATTCGGGTTATGTTGGCCTGTTGACATGTTAATTATCTTAGACCATTAAAATTCAATAATCAATGAAAAAACACACAAAAATATGTATTATAGACAAGTTAAAAACAAGACTACAAGTTTTAAAATATGTATGGGCCAACCAGTTGCTGTAAAAACAAAGTTTTACTGGTTACATTCATAACACACTCTAGTGAACAGGACCTTCATGTAGTATGTTCTTTTTTTTTTAAAATCATACAGCATCCTTTCATGTGTTTTTCAGATGTCATATTGTTAATTACCAATTTTTGTTTAGCCTGATTTTTTTTAGAAAAGTGAAAAATAAGTGTTATTTTGATCGCTTCATATAGAGAAGCATTAATATACATTTCTATATTGTGTAAAGAAACAACTACAAAGTTAAAAACCAAACACCAAATGGTTGCAAAAGCGGAGCGGCCATCCCCTATCGCTCGTCGGCATGTATTAGCTCTAGAATTACCACAGTTATCCAAGTAACAGATGGAGCGATCAAAGGAACCATGACTGATTTAATGAGCCATTCGTAGTTTAACTGTAGTGGCTGTGAGCGCTTTTGGCGTTCTCACCCTGCTGCTGCTCTCCTGTCTGCGCTGCAGCGTAACTTCGGCCTTCCCACTTACCGCCTCATATATTACGTGCCCACAAGGTGGAACTCCACCTTGCACATGCTGGAGAGGGTGTGCGAGCAGCAGCAGGCGATAGTGGAGTTTCAGCTGCAGCACGCACGGGTCAGTCGCTCTGCACCAGACTTGCCCTCCAATAGATCCTCGTTAAAGGATTTAAAGTGTACTCATTCAAATTAGAGGGCCTTGAAAGAGTCCTGTAGTGTTAATTTTCGTCACTACCTTCCCGCATCGGGAGTGGGTAATTTGCGCACCTGGTGCCTTCCTGTGATGTGGTAGCCATTTCTCAGGCTTCCTCTCCGGAATCGAACCCTGATTCCCCGTTATCCATGGTAGGCGCAGAAAGTAACATCGAAAGTTGATAGGGCAAACCTCTGAATGCGTCGTCACCGTCACGGGGACGTGCGATCGGCCCGAGGTTATCTAGAGTCACCAAAGTGCCTGCGCAACGACTGCCAAGTTGCCCACATTCTAACTTGTGCTGATAACTGCTGGATCCCCATTACAAGGACAACTTGCCGTCCTTAAAGGACCACTCTAGGCACCCAGACCACTTCAGCTTAATGAAGTGGTCTGGGTGCCAGGTCCAGCTAGGGTTAACCCATTTTTTCATAAACATAGCAGTTTCAGAGAAACTGCTATGTTTATGAATGGGTTAAGCCTTCCCCTATTTCCTCTAGTGGCTGCCTCATTGACAGCCACTAGAGGCGCGTGCGTGCTTCTCACTGTGATTTTCACAGTGAGAGCACGCCAGCGTCCATAGGAAAGCATTATGAATGCTTTCCTATGCGACCGGCTGAATGCGCGTGCAGCTCTTGCCGCGCGTGCATATTCAACCGACGGGGAGGAGAGAAGAAGGATCGGAGGAGGAGAGCTCTCCACCCAGCGCTGGAAAAAGGTAAGTTTTTACCCCTTTCCCCCTTCCAGAGCCGGGCGGGAGGGGGTCCCTGAGGGTGGGGGCACCTTCAGGGCACTATAGTGCCAAGAAAACGAGTATGTTTTCCTGGCACTATAGTGGTCCTTTAATTCCCTCACTGGAGCATAATCGGAAGATGCGCAACTACAAGCGCACGCTGGTAGATGCAATGCTGAGGGTATTCCCAACTGACATCGGGGGCTCAATGGAAGAACAAGGCGAAGGCAGAGGAGGAGGAAGAGGTCGCCAACGCAGCTGCGGCACCGCCAGCACCTCACAAGGCAGGGTTAGCATGGCCGAAATGTGGAAAAGCTTTGTCAGCACGCCACAACAACCAGCACCACCAGCTGATATGAAACGTCTTAGCAGGAGGCAGCATTTCAGCAAAATGGTGGAACAGTACGTGTGCACATGCCTACACGTACTGACTGATGGGTCTGCCCCATTCAACTTCTGGGTCTCCAAATTGGGCACATGGCCTGAGCTTGCCCTTTATGCCTTGGAGGTGCTGGCCTGCACTGCAGCCAGTGTATTGTCTGAACGTGTGTTTAGCACAGCAGGGGGCGTTATCACAGACAAGCCCAGCCGCTTGTCCACAGCCAACATGGACAAGCTCACGTTTATTAAAATGAACCAGGCATGGATCCCACCAGACTTGTCTGTACCTTGTGCAGAATAGACATTTATACCGGCCTCACCCAGCCATTGTTATACTCAAGTGCACTTACTCTTTGTTTTCTTTTTTTATATGTCCCAATATTTGGGGCGCTACCCCAATTTAAAAAAACAACAACAAAAAAACAGTGTTGGCTACCTCCTCCACCTCCGCTTCCACCTACACCGCCACGGTCACGCCTCCTCAACCTCCTACTCCATATCCACCTCCTCCTCCTAGAGCAGGGTGCAAAAGCGGAGTGCAGCCCTCTAGCTCTTTCCAGGACTTTTTTAGAGGCGTTTTAGTGCCCAAAAGTTTGGGTCCCCATTGACTTGAATGGGGTCAAGTTCGGGTCAAGTTCGAGTCCGAACTCAAACTTTTTGCCGATGTTCAGCCGAACCCTGCTAACCCGAACATCCAGGTGTCCGCTCATCTCTACTTTTAAACTTTCCTTTACTCCAGTAGTGTTAGCAACTATCCGATCACTAAACTCACATGGGCATGCTGTTGACATCCATGATTGGCTAGTTAACTGGCAGCTCAGTTTCCATTCATTTAGGACATTTAAAGTGGCACTGGATCAAAAACGAGATAAAAAATAAAGAAAAGAAGAACAGATTCTGGAAGAGAAAGAAGAGGAAACAATAGGAGAAAGGTATGTTTGGCATGACAGCGCCACTTTAAGGTGTGTAGGCTCACTCATAGCTAACTGCCTGTAATATTTAAAACTGCATTTGGTTGTGCACAGGGCTGCCTTAGGGGAGTGCGAGCTGTGCAGGCACACAGGGCGCCATGCAGCCGCACAGCTCGCACATGGCCGGTGGCCGTGTGACAGGTATGCAGGGGGAGCTAAACTAAGTACCCGGGTGGAGGATTTGATTATTCTTCACCCGGGTCTATGAAAAAAATAGAGCGTCAGCAGGGACAGAGCTTACCGACTGGGGCTAACATGGCATCGGGGGCTGGGTTAACAGCTTCCAGAAGCCCCTGGTAACTGCTGCACAGGAAGGGGAAGCAGGAAGGAGTCCCTGCTTCTCCCAACAACTACGCTACAGCTGCACTGCCTCCACTGCTCCCTTCCAGCCATAATGGAAAGAGGTAAGTGTGTGTGTGACTGCCTGTGTGTGACTGTAACTGTGAGTGTGACTGTAACTGTGTGTGAAAGTACTGTTTGTGTTTGTGACTGTCTGCCTATGTATGGCTGTAACAGTGTGACTGTAACTGTGTATGACTATCTGCCTGTGTGTGACTGTAACTGAGTGTGTGTGTGTGTGTGTGTGACTGTCTGCCTGTAACTGTGTATCACAGTATTATGTGACATACTTAGTCTGCCCCTCTGTAATGCATGGGAGGCAGTTTGGCACCTCTGGCCTGCACTTCCATTGGCTGCATACTATAAGTAGCTGTCTTGCAAGCTCTGGCCAATCAGTGCATTGCTAAAGATTACCAGAGAAAAGCATTGACACTGTAAATGCCTGAGCTAACGAGACAGTTACTCATAGTCTGCAGTCGGTGAGGGAGCAGACCAGATTCAAAGCACACTGGAACACCTGAGATCATCATTCACCCTCACTGCAAGGTAACAGGAAAGGGGGAAATTAATATTTGTTTTTAAATCATTATTAATTTAATAAATCCCCTATAAAAACATTACACCCCTATACACACCATGTACACATGGATGAAGGTGTATGACCTGGGAGGATGGGGAGGGGCGCTATGAAGATTTTCACACAGGGTGCCTAATGGTCTAAGGCAGGCCCTGGTTGTGCATAATGATGTTGGTAATTGATAGCTTCCAAAATTGAACTAAACATCGGAAGAAGCTGGCGTTGTGGCTGTTTACTGTACAACCACTAGCACAAGGGTTTGCTAAAAGTATATACATTGCTGTATCACAGATATTCATCTCTGACATGTTTTACAGTTTATAACTTTTTTGGGGTGTGGGCAGAGGACACTATTTAACAATGCATGTATAATTTATTTATACCTTTAAGCATCCCCATTATATAACAGTAAAGTTCTGTGGAACATATTGACACTATATAAATAATAATAATTTAACATATGATACAGAAATTATACCTTATTATATAGAAAAGAAAATCATACAAAAAAATGCTCTGAAAACACCCTAACCATTATGGCTCACTGTTATGGTGCCTGCATGCCCCTGACAACATCCCTGTGATGGAGCTCCCGTACCTCCACCAAGTACGCTACCTCACTGCCACAGGGCACTCTGGAACACGTTAGACCCAGTCACTGAAGCTTGATTGGGGGCTCTACAGAGCTCTTCCACACAACCAGGCAGATATCGTCCCCTCTCCCTATTCCTATAGCTCTCCTTCCAGGCAGGTATCCCCACCTCTGGCTGTAATAGGATTAGCTCCTGCCCATATAAAGGCACTTGTGGCTTTCAGCTCTAGCTCTTTTGACTTCATCCCATGCTAAAGGGACAATGGAGCCAGCCAACACGTGCAAAGACTTTGTTACCATGATCTTTAAACAAACTAGACACAGGACAAAAAAGGAACTAGAATACAAAGCATTATTTTTACTTGGGCCTAGCCCATATGCTCATTACATCAAACTTAATATAATACAATTGCCTAATACATATCAAAATACATACAGGAACATATAATAATAACCTAATAACATATTTATAAAGGTGTGTGGAAAAAAAAACAATTAATACAAAATATCTTTCCAGTCTGCAGAAACTATAATATGCAAATCTTCCTGACTATGCAAATTACAGAATCATGCTATTCATGTAGTGTATAAACAGTTACAACCAATAGGTGCACTGTACATAACTGTTGAAACCAGTGGAACTGCACTAAACTGTTGCAATATATTTGCAACCAACAGATGGCACTGTACTTGTTCCACAGCCAAACCTACATGGTTAGTAGAAAGCATCAGCATAACAGGAGAGCACACAAAACATTTCACAATAAACAATACATTTTACACACCCTGCACGTATAATGTGCACATGGTGACTAAACATAAGAACAACCTAAGGACCTACATAAAGTGCCCGTCTTTAGCCCCCAGTGATGGTGACTACTGTCACAATCACTTTTTTCTAATACAAAATATTTTCAGTGATTTGACACACAATGGGTGTTTGTCCTTGCGTTCACTTGGCATTTTGCTATAGTGGAAGTCACACTTCAACTTTAGCAACATAATTTAATCTATAGTTAACCAGCATTAATTGTCTGAGCAAGCTGTAGTGGTAGATATTTTAGTGTCCCTTAAAGCAACAAATTAAACATAGAAACATTGAATGTGATGGCAGATAAGACCCATTTGGCCCTTCTAGTCTGCCCAATTTTCTAATAATTTTAATAGTCCCTGGCATTATCTTATATCAAGGGTAATGCCTATCCCACACATGCAGGGCCGCCATCAGGGGGTGACAACCATAACAGTTGTCACGGGCCCGGCGGCCCTGGGGGGCCTGGCCGCCCGGGCCCCACGTGTAGCGGCGGAACTGCCACCGGTGCAGTTCCACCAGGGACCGCACGTTTTATGGGGCCCATCATCCCGATGGGCCCTACATCTTCAGGGGCCCGGTCAGCGCTGTGGCCGTGGTACAGCGCGACCGGGCCCCTTTAAAAAAAAAACGCAGCCGCAGCAAGTGCTGCTGGGAGGAAGTGGTCACTTCCTCCCAGGTCACTCCGCGCGGGAGGACCGCCAGCCAGGCGAGGGAGAGCCGTGCCGACTACTATCAGCCCCAGCCACCCTCCTGCAAAGAAAAGGTAAGAAACCGGAGGGTGGCTGGAAAATGAGCTGTGTGTCTGTATGAATGTATGCATGTCTGTCTGTATGTAGGTATATATGTATGTATGTCAGTATGTATGCAAGTATCAATGTATATCATTATGTATGTCTATATGCATGTATGTCAGTCTGAATGTATGTATGTATGTCTGTATGCCATTATGAATGTATGTCTGTGTATGTCGGTATGCCATTATGAATGTATGTATGTATGTCTGTCAGTATGTCTGTATATATATATATATATATATATATATATATATATGTATGCCAGTATGTCTGTATGTATGTCT